TTTGACCCACAGCCATAAGATTCTGGAACTCCAAAAGAGGTTCAGTCAGCTGTTGATCAGTCAAAGATAAAGAGTCAGATTCTTTAGCAGATTGAAGACTCGAGGGACCAGGAGAGGCCAAGCATTTTCCGTCCTTTCGCTTTTTCCACTCACCTCCAGATCGACACAAAAGGACCAAAAGGAGCGCCCTCCAGATCATCCTAGCAGCCTGGTGTGAAAGAAACATGATGAGGGAGGCCTCAATGACTGTACCCTCTTCAAAGTATAAACATAGCCACATAGCCATGATCTGGTAGACGAAGAACAAATAAGATGGAACCTCCCTGGGTCACATAGTAAACACATGTCACCTGGACCTTGGACCTTATAGATCATACCCTCTGGCATATAGATCATACCCTCTGGCACCCCACATAGTGGAAGGGCGGACATCGAGACCGCAAGGTGTGTGTGTGGGACCTTATAGATCTTATAGGGGTATTCCATGGAGTCATGTTTGGCGCCGGGGGGAGCAGGGGGTGCGCCCAAGAACGGTGCGCCCTAGGATCGGTCGACCGGAGGAAACCAATCGAAGCAAGGTCATAAGTCACATAGGAGGAGGTTCACCCAACCGGTGGAGACACGTTATTTCATATCTTGCCATCTGCATACAGAAAAAAACATCTATGAACTGCCCCCCCCGGGTGATATATTCACCATAGCCCAACCATGCAGGCCCTTCAAGAACCGCCGCACCGGAGCACTCGCAAGAAAGCGGGTTTTCGCGGTGCTGGGCGCCACCGGAGTGTTTCGGTGCTGGGCGCCACGTCCGCCCCCTGGACCGACCCCCCTGCGCCCGACCCGCTCCACACCAGCGACCAGCACAGGTGTGGTCCTTCACCGCCGGGCCGCCCAGAGTGGACTCCTCCGCGACGACTGTGTTTGCATCGTTGGATCCCCGAAGGACCGGCTTCCCATCGGGTTTTTGGGCGAAGGCACAGAGATCGTGGGGGAAACGCTGTTGGAACTGGATTGTCGCCAAGCAAGTGGTGTGAAAAGTGAGTGCTAGTCATGACTATTTGATCTTGCTTGCTCCTGAAGGTTTTGCGCCCCTAATCCACCCCAAGCTTGCCAAGCCTGACACGTCCAGAAGTGCTACGTGGGTGTTGGTGCACACCCACAACGAGGCATTGGAAGCACTTCACACCGCACACATGGCACACATGGAGCACATGGAAGTGGAACATGTCCTGTTTGTACAGGCAAGTCAGACTTGGAAGAGGCCATGCATGGCTATCCACTTACACTATACAATTGCTTCGGGAGTAGCACTGGCACCCCAAGATGGCTTTTAGATGGGGGGCCATATCAACTTATCAAGCACCGACCTTCGGGATTCCACTGTCAACCCTCTATAATTATTTATATATTCCACCAGCTTTTGGTGCTTGTCTGCAGTGAGAAAGAGAACCACAAAGGGAAGGAGCCACTGGGACGGTGCTGGGCAGTTGATGGCCAATGTTCTGCCCGACTGGCTGCTGTTGGACCAGGCCCACAGAAAGAGCAGGTGGAGTCAGCACAGCATAGCACAGCTGCATGAAGAAATCTTTGATTCGGTGGTTCCAGAGCACCAGGATGGCACCATCTAGCCCAAAAGCTCCAGAGATGGTGCATCAAACAGACGGGAGAGAGAGAGAGAGAGTTCAACAGCAGCTGCCAAGGAGCTTAGACATGGTTCTTTTCAGTCTCAGCCGGAAGTCTACAAAACTTTGCATCATCATGTTTGTGTCGCCACCCTGCTGACATATACTGTAGATCGTCCTGCTAAAGTCCCATCTTGGTCAGGACGTGGGAAGGTATATATTTGATCCCCCCCTACGCCTGAGTGCCTATGTACGCCAACCGGGCCTTTAAACACACCAAGCACCAAGCAGCAAGCCTTGAGACCAAGCAGCAAGCCTTGAGACCTGGCACTGGGGTGCAACTCGCTTGACCCCTAGAACCCTTGACTTGCGCGATGGGCCGCACCGCGGGCCGCACCGCGGGCCGCAGCAGCGCGCTCGATGCGGGCACGACGGTCTGTGGGCAATGCCGCCGGGCGGATGCTGGGACATGGCTGATCCCATCTCACGGACATTGCAATGCAGCCATGCTTTGCAACTCATTTGGAGCGGATGATGGGACATTCACTTTGAGCAGTGAGGAGGTTCATGCTTTTGTTTCAATCATGTGCTTCCCCACTGAACTGTGGGAAAACAACTTTTCGACCCACTGGTCATCAAGGACCCGCCTTCAGACTCTAGACCAACAAAGAATCTAATGGTCACAGAGTCACAGATGAGATCCTTTTTCTACTGTAGCTTGTTTTTTTAAGTGCCTGGACTGTGCATCTATTTCCGGCCGCAGAACCACGCGTGGTTTTCGGGTCGTGAGGGTATGTCCGACCAATGCGCGGTTTTGGCACCTGGGCGGTGTTTCTAATTGCACAAGTCATTTGACTCATTTTGGGTCAGATCATATCATCATAGGATCCAAAGAGTGAAAAGACTGTCCCTTCCGCCGGCGCCTGATTAAGAAGTGCTTAAGGATCATTCAGAATTCACCTAAAGAGCCAAAACCTCGAGACCTGACAAGCATCATCCAAACCTGACATGGACATCTCAAAGGTTCTGAGAAGCCATGGCAGCCACCTTTCACAACCTTGGGAAGTGCCTGTGTGTGAAACCCTTGGAATCACAGGGAATCCTTTGATTTTCGGCGGAGGGATCACGCACGAACTTGACTGGTGATCCAACGAAGAGGGTGAAGCTCCGGTGCTGATATCTGGCCTGATCAGCCAGACGTACCTGCAGTGATTGCCACTTACTTCCTCCTGGGCCCCTTTGTCACTAGAACAAGTCGTTGGCCATTGCATCGGTTTTTGAGCTCTGCAGTCATGCTTTTGTCGCTTTCGTTAAGCCTTTGAATTTTTGATGAGGTTTTGAAGGTGGTCAGACCACTTTACTCTTGATACTGTTAGGCGTTCATACCTAGGTGGGCGTGTGGCATGTGGCATTCCGTTCCGTACGCAATATCTCTCGAGTGTGTGTGTTTGGTGAACATCAATGAATGCATCATTGAATATAGGCTTCTAGTTGCAGTGTGCCCCCCTTAAACAGAAGACAATCACTTCCCCACTTCATTCAGGTGTTGCCGTTACCCCATTCATTCCCATGCGCCAGTGATCGATTTCGGATCTCCAGGCGACAGCTGCGTCGCAGATCTGTTTGAGTTCGGCCACTCGGTGTGGATCTCTACGCCGTAGGACCTTCATGTCAGGTGAAGACGAAGATCCAGAGGTAGTAGAGTCCATTGGAGGCGGCAAGAGTTGAATTGAAAAGAAGGTATTGTATGACACATATATGATGTATATGTTTCCACGTCAACTTTCATGAGAGATGCTGACACAGGGCGGTACACATCTCAAAGACTACTTGCTTCAGGGCTGGGATGATGGGAGCTGCGCCCGGTTGCGCAGGTCTCTCATCCCACTTCGCTGGGGTCGGTCCGAACCGGGTTCACACGCTAGGGGTGCCCATTGGGTTTGTCCCACAACAGTCAGTAAACAAGAACATCACTATCTTTGAACCAGACCTTTACTAACCATCATCATGCACTGGCATTGGGATATGCACAAGGTGTCCAATTGAAACAGCATTGGGGATTCTGCCCTTACTAGACGGCCGCCTTGCGTGGAGAAACTGGTTTGCCGAGGGCGGACTTCAGCAGCTAGAGAGCTGAAATCGTAAGATGCCGTTCTCATCCATTTGTAAGACACCGAGCACAAGTCGCACTGTTTGTCATGCGGAGGTTTTGACCACCCAGTGGACCGGAGACGGGCGCTTCAGCAGATTTCCGGCAAAAAAAAACGTCATGAGATGAAACCTGAGCCTTAGATGAAACCTTCATCTCACGTTTTCTTCAAAAAAGACGGCGGAAAAACCGCGCCAACGATCGCTCCAAGATGTTTTTCCGGCCCCAACACATCGATCGCAGGCATTTCTCTCAGGCGAACTCGATGGGTTGGGTGCTTCCTTGCCATGTGTGATAGATGGCCCAGAAGGCTGCGATTCACTGGAGGATCCTCACTCCTCAAGCAAAGCAACACTGTTAAATCAAAGACCTCATTTTGACTGCAATGGATCATACAGTTGATATCATCAGTTGATCATGCCGATAGAAAACCTGCTACTCGTTTTCGGGACCAGGTTTTACTGGGCCTGTTTGGACCTGTAGGGCACAACCATAATCACTTCACTTTGAAGTGGGCAGAAGTTCACCTCCAAATGCTGGTCCGATGCGATCCGCGGGCGCCTCATGGGCGGTCCCAAGTTCTGACGTTGGAGGACTGATGCCAGGTTTTGGGAGGGACATCCTTTAACAAAGGAACGCACCAATTTCCGGTAATCCTGGGTAACTACTGCGTTCTGCGGGAGAAGAGTAGGACACTGGTGTGCAGAAACACATTTCGAAGACATCCGTGTAGAGTGTAGAATTGATTGTGATGTACAGGATGCTATTGCGTCCGCGTAGGCCAGAGAAGTGCGACAGGAATCCATCCGCCAACCAAACCCTCCACCAATCGGAGTCTGAGTTCGATTGTGCTTTGAGGATTTTTGGAGCTGGGCAAAAGCCACATGATCACCGCATCTGCAGGTTTTGCGGAACTCCGTGCGGAACTCTGGGCGGATTGGACTGGTCAATTTCCCGGTCCGCGAATGGACCATTTCAAGGACCTCACACAATGACCTGTCCACCGCACCCTTAAGTGACCGACACCCACGCGCGCGAGGAAGTTCCATGCAGAGCAGGCGACCGCTCCGAGCTGTTGGCTGATTTGGGAAAGGTGCTCCCCAACGAAATGCACCTTACAGAATCAATAGCAGATCTAGGGTGAGAGACCATCCAAAACCGGGGTTCAGGAATGTAATGGAATATACATTGCCTTCATGTTCAATACGCACCTGAATGTTGTATACAGTGTTTGACTCTTGTACTGCGGGGTGCTTGCACAAACCTTCAACTTGTGTGGAGTGACTTAATAATCCAAATCTACAGGGCCAGGCCAGGTGTTGTTTAATGCCAAAGTCCTTCCTCCAAGCCCACCCTGCACATGATACCATATGATACCACTCCAACCAATTGATCAACGGCTAGATGGTCCGCCATTTAGGACCCACCTTCACCCACCGGCTCCCATCGAAAGAGACGATTAACCATTCCATACCATTCCGTTGCCGTTCCCGTCCGTTGCCGTTGCCGTGGTTGGCTTCGAGGGGTTTCCGCCATCTCGCTGTCCGTCTTCGCCACCTGCCATGGCGCCACATGTGCCACATGTGCCAGTGGCCACCGACGAGGAGGACTGCCGTGAGGACCACGGTGGCTGCGAGGACAGTACGGGCCTCACTGGAGCAAGGACAATCACCAGTCGTGCATGCAGAGTGTGCAAAGTGTCCTGCCTGGTGCTTGGGCTGCTGGTGGTGGCGATGCTGATGCTTACCTGAGATTGAGGTGGGGTCAACGTTGGGTTTATTTGTGTTGCATTCTATAGGAGCTTACAAGTACGCATCACAAGGCTAGATGAATGTTGCGGACCACAGGGTACTAGTCATACTAGTAGATGATGATAGATGCTTGGCAAGGATTTTGAAGGTTCATGCTGCCAGTGAGAAGAATCTTCAACGGTGACGGGTCGGCGCCAGATGTCGCAAAGGGAATTGGCCTAAAAGGCTTTGACCAATGGAACTTGTTTGATAGTTTGTTGATGTCCTTCCGGTTCAATTCACTAAATTCCCTCAGGCTGCACGCTACAGTGTTGGAGCAGAACCAGGATGCCTCCAAACAGATCCCCTTCCACTGGGCACACAGAACTTGTACTCGTAGGGTGAAAACGGGTGTCGATGTCGGCTTGAGGGAGGGTACGCAAGAAATGAATCACTTGTTTGGCGGTTCCACCTGTGAAGACGCTCACCTGTTGCCCGACCACTCCCTGGACGGCTCCCGGCCGCCGGGTGCTACGAAGATCTGAGGATCTTGTTGGGCACCAGTGGACCACAGAGCTCTGGGCTCAAGGCGTGGCTTTGCCCATCAGGTGGAAAGCCAGCACCCAGGGCCCCAGGGCCGGGCCGCTGCCAGATGTTCGCTTTGAAAGAGGAAAGAAGCTGACAGGTCATGTCAGGGCCTGTTGTGGCATGCATCCCCGCACTCAAAGTTGGATCGTACGAAGCCATTTCTCGATCTATGATGATCTATGGCCTGTGGGTACCACAGGTCATTGGTTTTCATAAGACGCACCAATCAGAAAGCGTTCCACACATGTCCCCTGAAAGCAACACACACAGGGCCGTGCCCCGTCATGGTAAGCTGCTACTCTTGGACCAGACTTGGGAACTCTTGACTTGCTTCCGAGGATTTATCAGTTTATCATTTCCTTTGTCACGTATGTGTCTCCATGGGGGGAGTGCAGTGTGCAGCCCAAAAAGGCTTGATTTTTTTCATGTTGCAAGCTAGTTAGCTAGCGGCCAATGGACCAGTGGCCTGCCGAACCTAGATCAGTCCCTGAAAGCCTGAAGTAGGTCCATCACCGCCCGATCCAGACCATCTGGATCGATGGAACTACTGACATTCAGTTTAAAAACTTCAATGTTTGAGGCCTTTGGGCCTTTCTTCCAGGCCTGGATCGTCAAAGCCTCCTCGGATCTCTCGCTGGCCGCCGAGAGCCTCTCTCCGCCGGTCCCGGAGTTGGGCTCCACGGCCACCGCAGCACTGGAGCGCCGAGGGACGGCGACCGGGTTGTGCCGGAACGGGAGACCTGGCTGGAAGAGACCGCACAAAGTGCGGTTCTGGGGGAAGAGCAGTGGGAAATAGGAAGACGGATGGGGGAACGGAAAAGGTGGGATGGGAGACCATGGAAGACCATGGAAGACCATGGATCGTGGTTTTCGGCGCAGTCTTGGGCATGGAGGGTTTCAGGAGTCTTTCTTTGTTTCGGGCGCGTGCCACGTCTGGTCCTCCCGTGCTTTTCCAGAGTTCACCTGATTTCGCCTGGCCTTTTCGACCAATGTGACCAGACGGTTGGGCAGACGTGCGGGTTTGTGAAAGAGTTGGCGCATTCCGTCGATGATTGCATGTTGTTCTTACTCTAGCGATCTCCAGCGTGGCCTCAGGTCGGCCCTGAGCTTCCACAGCACCAAAGATCGAACTGAAGATCAGAATCGATGTGGTTCCACGTTGTTCAAAAGGAGTCAGCTTCGCCCAATCCCTGTTTTCGGCAACCAAATGGTTCGCGGTTCTCTCGATCGATATCTTGGATCTGAAGCCGAAGCCAATCTCAGCAGCTTCGTTCTTGGCCGCTTTTTGCGAACCTGAGGAAGTTCAAAAATGCTCCCCGCATCCGAAAGGAGTCCCTTGGAAGGTCGCAGTTGGCGTGTGGGGTGGGCGTGACAGGGGCAGGTGAGATTCCAGGGGAGTGCCGTATATAGTTGCAGGGTGATAGCAGGTGGCAACAGTTGAGTTCCAGGCAGATGCTTGCAGTTCCAGGCAGATGCTTGCAGTCTCCACACTAAGCTAGGTGATGGTTTCGGATATTTTTACTTTCCACCCTTACTTGGGGATGAAGAAGGACCTCTGAGTCTGACTCATATTTTTCTTTCGTGGGTTGAAAACACCAACCAGTAAGCAATTTGATAGTATCAGCTTGATGAATGAACTGTAGATCCCTCTCAGTTTCCATGGAACACATCATACGTTTTTCCATTTGTTCACATCATTAGTGGGGAAACCAATCCTGATGATCAGCTGTTAAGATCTATTGGACATCCTTTTCAGATAGTTCACTTCATTGTCGCATCCTGAGGTGGCGTGAGTTGACCAAGAGGGAACTCCGCGCCGTGCAGAACGCCTTTTGGCGGCTCAAGGGCTTCAGCCGCAGGAAGAGTGGCGGCAACGCGGCGGGCTACGCGCCGGATTCGAACTGGGACACCACGGAGAAGGGCATTGCGAAGTGCAAGGAACTCAATCAAGGAGTTCGTAAGAGGGATCAGACACTTGCCGCACTTGCCTGTTGGCCAGTCTATATAATTGGCTATGGCTCAGAATGCTGCAGGTCTTGGTGTAGCCCGTTCACACATCCTTTTACCATGCAACAATCAACTGGAGTATCGAGTGTTTGTATCTATTTCTTCCCTAGCCAGGCCAGCCAGGCCTGCTTGAGATTGACATGCTTGAAGCTCCAGCTTGGTTCTGGAAAATAGACCAGGCTGGAAGACGAGCTGCCCTCCAATAAACCAGCAGTTTTCAAGTGACGCTCAGTTTGCGCCCAAACTCAGTCAGTCTTGTGAAGAAGTATCCTCCCCCCCTAAGAATCCGGGCCCTCAAACACTAGGGTTTTGAGGGTCCAGACCCCTGCTATGGAGGGTCCGACCCCTGCCATGGAGAGCCCAAGGATTCTTAGGATCAAATGAGGATTTGCGGGCCGGGCTGCTTGTGTTTCCCTGTCCTTTGTGTGGTGCGGCCTGGGTCAAGCACGATCTCCTTCCAATATTTGCCGATGCTGTTGCCAACATTTGTTGATTTGTCGGTTTCTGCCTGCTGGGCTGCTGGAACTGCTTTGTGTAACCCTGCTTTGTGTAACATAGGTATAGCTGTTCACGTCCAAATGCAGATGTCGCCCAAATCTCCTGAAAAGGCCGGGCAGTAGGGCACGCGCGTACACACCAGACAAAAAGGAACCCCTACTGCGAGTACTTCACCAACTATGATGAGATGGCAGCTTTGCATGCTTGCTCCGTGAAGGATCCACGATGTGATCAAGGCCACACTGGGCCGCACTTCATGAACTTTCATCGAAGCTTCGTTTGAAACAGCATCTAATCTGTCCCGGCGGTCGGCTCTCGGGTCAACGCGGGTTGGAGAAACATCATGAAACCACAAGTCTTGTTGAATCAGGCACCTCTTGGGTTCAATCATGGTTCGATCATGTTCGATCTATATAATCCTCCATGATCCAGAACCCCTCTTCTTCCCATGATGGTTGAGTGCCCGACATACATTGACATCCTGGACCTCAATCCAAGCCTGGCTTGATTGATTCCAGACCTATCTCCCTCCCTCCCTGGAGCCTATCCCCAAATCTTCATCCGTCACCCGTTGCTTTTCCATCAGCATTGCACCCCAAAAAATTGTGACATCATGCAAGACCTGAGACACAGTTTATACTGTGAGGATCCTGTAGGTGACGCACGAAATCCCACAAAATCCCCCTCCCCAACGTGTCTTTTTGAGCTTTTTTGGTTGTCCATCTTCGTCCCATCTTCGTCTCGATCCCAGAATTGTCAGGAATGGTGATCCTGAAGATGGAGCTGGCCCTCATGGCGGCCGACACGAACCGCCCCATCCAGGTCACGGCCATTCCCTACTGGGATCAATCCTTAGACTCCGAGGATCCCATCGGCAGGCGCGGTGAATGGAGGGGGGTGAGGGTCGGGGGGTGAAGAAAGAATAAGAAAGAGAATGCCATGACAAAGAGTTGGGTCATGTTGGGCCCAAGATGTTCTGATGGATGGAATGGTTGATTTAAAAGACAACCATTATAATTCATTATATGTTTTTTGTTAAATTCCTTTTTGGATTTGGATGGATTTGGATCGATTGCTTTTTGGCAGTTGTTTTGCTTCATGTAGAGCAGCTTTTAGCTTAGCTTGATGGTGTTTGTGCGTCGGGTGTTGCATACATTTACGTGTACCGTGTCCAACTTGTTGCAGAACTCCCCATATATATTGCTTCCACATGAAACGGTCCGGCTTCAAGCTCGAACCTTCCCCGGTCGTTCTACGAACTACCGCGCCAGGTACCGCAACGCCCCAGACAAGTACATCTTCAGCGAGAACTACTTTGGAGACTTTTGGGGCAAACCGGAGAACGACTATGCCGTGGTCAACGGCCTCTTTGCCGAGTGGCCCGTGGCCATTTGGACCGAAGAAAGGCGGCACTGGTCGCCGACGTGCGTGAAGTGGTATGTGCAGGGCTTGCCTGGCAGGTGGTGGGAATTGGAAGACTACCAGGGCCCCAACTGGAGGGCTCCTATACGGGGTCTCTATCAATAAAATCATATAACATCTATTTTACTGTAGCTTAGAGGTTCGGGGGGGTGTTCATTCACCACCCTGGGCCTGGCGCAAGTCTATAGCGTCTAGAGGTCTGCTTGGGGGCCTCGTGTCACTCGTATCATCTCGTATCGAAAGCTTACGACTGGCCCTTCCGGGCCGCAGTGTTTTTCAGAGCGACTCAGAGATCTCAGAGGTTCTCTCGAGTCAAAAAGTGTATCAGGACCTACCAGCACCCGACTCTACAGGTCTCCGAAATGAAGGGTTGCTAGGCCCTATATAAGAGGTCTCAATTGGTGACCTGTTGGAGGGTGCTGGTAGCATCGTATTCTGCCTTCTTCTAAACTTATATGTAGCTATCATAATCTATCATAAGAGAGTCGTGGGTCATGTGCAGTGTCAGACACGCCGTGCAACTTCCTACAGCGACTCGGATCGGATCATCTTCGGATTACACCAGGACTCACCCGGGTGTGACGGTGTGACCCCGAGAGACCCCCAGAACAGGTGCTTGGGCCGGTGGAACATCAACCTCTCCCACCAGAACAGGTGCTTTTTGGTCCGGCAAACCGCCCGCTTGGTACCACCACAACACCGCGCGGACCAACACCGCGGACCCCCCAAATGAAGGGGCATCCGTTCTTCGGGGAACCCACGGCTCACGACACGGATGCCCTTCGGAACGCCCGGATGCTCTTCGCCGGGTCGAACCGGCAGGTTTGGATCGAAGAGCAAGTTGGCGAACCAGAGCAAGTGCATCGCTTCTGTGCCTCGGCCGACACGGGCTGGTGAAGAGGGGTGAAGGGTGGAGGAGAGATCCCCATGGTATTTGCAGGCCACCTTTGGAGATGAAAGAGCGAAGTGCTTTGGGAGGGTCTTTTCACGAAAGGTAGCTTCAGCTGAGGGTAAAACCCCCCCATATAAGAAATTCGTATTCGCATGTCCGTTTTTCTGGAAGCATGCCCAATCCACTAAAACGATAAGGAAGAAGAAAGAACGATAACCCCTGATGACTCTTGTGGAAAACCCTTGACATGCGAGAAGTGGTGTGAAGAAAACGCGTGCACACACACAAACAGAAAACCTACGTACTACTACTGTTCCAAATTAATCAGGGTCAATGCATGACTGCTTTTGGTGGGTATGTGCTTGGACAGAGGTGGGAGGGCTTGGACCGCAGTAGCCTTGTGTTACAGCATTGTTGTGCCACATGGTTTTCCACCTTGCACCAGGCATGAACACGATAACAAAACGATAACAAAAACGATAACACAGCAAGCCCAAAACACCTTTCCGTAGGCAGGCCACCACATGGGTGTAGTTGGAATGAAGTGTACCTAATGTCTTCATCCCTGCAAGGTTCCACACACACACACATGCATGTAGTGCACACACTATATTATACTAAATTTGTTGCAGTTAGTCAACGTGCTGTAAAACGATAAGGAGAAGAAACGATAGCGTCAAAAGTGGTATAGGGAAAGGTAGAGGGGTTCTTACACACAACCTCAGCTAGCTTTAGCTACAGGGCAGGATCCTCACACGCCATGACTGTGGGCTCGTGAAAGGCGATTCTGTATGACGGGGAGGGGTCACCCCCCCACACACCCTGTGGATCAACTCCACCCGGGGACGGGTGAATTTTCCTTCAATTGTACTGGTACAGTGGCTTCGTGTGATTGGATTTGTATCGAGCTTCTCCTCCCTCCTCGTCGTTTGGCTACTGCTGCTGCTGCTGCTGCTTTGGTGTGATTGGATTCGTATGGAGCTTCGCCTCCGTCCCCGTTATTTTGCTTCCTTTCTACAAGGCGATGCAGCTTTGCCGTGATTGGATTCGTGTTGAGGCTGCTGCTGCTGCTTCAATCCCACAGATCTCTCTCTCTCTCTCTCTTTTTTTCCTCTCTCTCTCTCTCTCCCTGTCTTCTCTCTCTTCTCTCACCTCTTTTAAAGAGTTTGAAAGTTGAACTTAGTGACCTACCTTTCGTTCACCCCCTCCCACCTTCAAGTCAGCACGAAGCCTGCCTTGTCAGTGTGGCAGTTGTCCGTTTCCCGGTTCGGACCACCAGCAAGTTCGGTTCCCGTTTTGACCCATCCCTACAAGATCCTACAAGTCAGTTTGACCTCATGAAATACTGGAGATGGTCATGCAAAACCAATACTTTAGGTGGTAAAAGACCAAGTTTTACCGGGTCTTTGGACTTGTGTGGCATCTCGAGGAGTTCTTTAAGGGCACTGTGGCTACTGCTGATGACTGTGGCGACGGCTACACCGCCACCCGCTGGTTTCGCGACCACGTGGAGTGCTCGGAGTACGTGGCACGCCAGCCAAACGACCCCAATGGGCCCCAAGCCTATGGACCACTGGGCGGCCATTATGGAGCCCGAGCTGCACCAGAGAGAGAGAGGGAGGAAGGGAGAGGGAGAGGGAGAGTCAAGTTAATGTAGAAATTGTAGACTCTTGATTCACCCCGCCATATGATGAGGTTTTACACTCCAAATGGAGTGGTTTTAATCCAAATGACTGGCTTCTTTTGACAAGGCCCACATCCCTTGTCCAAGGCCATGTGGGTTTGTTTCAGCATGGGTTTCTGTGAGTGTTGGGGTGTTTCTCATCCCCGATTGGCGGTCGGTTTTTAATGGTAGGACCCAGACACTCCATGGGACTGCCATATATACCTACATTGACCCCTCAGACCACCACAACTGATCAGTAAATATGACAGTCCATTAGTCACCTTTGGGGGAGCTTTAGCGCCCTGAACAAGGTGAACATATATGAATCCCAGTGTTTTTCCGCGCGAGGCATCGTGTATTCCAAAGAGGAATTCGAGGCTTGCTCCACCTATCCGGAGAACGTCCGGACCTGGATGCAGTGGAATACCTGTCAGGACTGGACGTGGACGGAGTCGGTGGTAGCTCGGTGCCGACTGTAGTGGTGGGTATAGCCAGGCATGGAGTTGGAGAAATGGGGAGCCCAAATGGACTGGAATTGGGGGTGTCCAACATGAACAACCCCAGAACCATCATAATGTCGACTCTTGAGGACCATACACCGCCCTTTTTGAAGAGGATGTTCAATTCAAATGGCCGGGGTTATGAATCAAGAGTCTACATTAAGGTGTCAATCGCCGTTGCCTTGACGATGCCTTATAGTGACGGTTTGTTCAGGCGGGTCGCAACTTCCAACTCCACTGTGACTTCCAACTCGGCCGATTCTCCACGGGAGACCGGGAGACCTCTCAAAGACCACCTGGAAGAAGAAGAGTAAACCAAAACCCATTCCCAGACACGACTGACTAGCATGGGACTGTCATATTTACATCATATGTACCTAATACAATGGGGTGGGGGTTTGAGAGGTGATTGGAGCGGCATCTACCGCAGCCTCCATACATGGAGTGTTTGGGATGATGGCTGCGACGCACCGCACCGACGTCGCGACCGGACGTCCGGTCCGGTGACCGACTGACCATGCGGAGGTGGTTCCAGAACCAGAGCCAACAGAACCAGAAAAACTCAGGTGGTTCCAATAGGATGATCCTTTACATAGGAAATGGGGACTGGGGAACCATCCATTTCTATCCGTCTCTTTCTGGTTGGGGCTGGGTTTCCAGGTGCGTGGGTATATTGAAATAGGGAGACCTCCCAGCGGCTCCTGCAGGCTTTGCCTTCAAACTTGGAACCCTGGAGCATTAGCTTCGATTGTGGTATATCAACTTCAAAAAAACACTTTGCTCAAAGGCCGCTATAGTTTATGGTTCAATGCCTCATGTTCCCTTTACAAGTCCCTCTCCTTTCCAGCTTGGCCCAGGTCGCAGTTCTGCACCGGGCTTCTCCCTCCAACGCCTCCCTCCGCACGCGAGGACCCGGGGCTCTTCTTCTGCGACGTGCCCCGTGATGAGCTGCTGCTCCTCCCTGTGCGGGATCAGCTCCGCGATGCGCCTCGGTGTTCTTGACATGGGTCAAGGATGGTTAAAGAAACAGATAAATCATCCCGGCAAGAGACCCCAAACAGTGTGTGTGAGGTCTAGAGGTGTAGCAGTAGAAAGTCTAGAGATCTAGACGCGAAAACATGCAAAAACCCAAGGGTCCAAGAGATTCCAAGAGGAAGTAGGGGATCTATCTAGGTGGGGGGTTCATCGTGACGGTCCAGACATATTTTTTGAGCTGCCTTTTTGGGGGTCTCCTCCACCAAAGGAGACCTTTCAAGAAAGGGAGAAAGGTTCAACCAGCACCCTAACCAGGACCCCCACTGCTTTTTGGACCCGACCACAGGTGTTTTCTTTTTTTTCCGCGGCACCTCTTGGAGGGTCCCACCCTACTCCAACAGACCGAGTCCATTGCTGCATGCATCCGCATGACGCGAGGCAATTGTCCCAGCATTGAAGGACAGGGTGACCAAATCCATCAAGGACCGCCTGAGCGCTCCCAGCGCCTCCAAGCACCGATTCGTGTGGGTCACTGGCGCCGTTCGTTTGACAGGTTCCTTCCCAGTCTCGGTTTCTGGCCGTGTGTATCGAATCCAGCTCGAAATGTTGGGCGGTTGATGGCTGGAAGTCCACGATCATGTTCAAAGTTGAACATGATTTTGGTTTTGGTTTGATACTTCGATTTTTTCTAAATGCACTGGTTGTCCGGGATTCAGACTCTTCAATCAGGCCAGGAAGCCGGATGGGCCACTGGGGAGATGTTCACCCTCTCCTTGAGAGCCGTTGGGTCGGCCGGCGGAAGTCGGACGCGGGAGAGAGCCGCAAACGATGAGTCGGACTGGGCATGCGAAACGATGATAGACTTTGCTGTTTGGTCCATATGTTTTTGCTTCGGACCTTTGAAAAATCCTGAAAAGGTAGACCTGCAGCCCTCCAATTGATGACATTGATGGGAAGATACCAACAGCAGCAGCTCCATGTGGGTTTCAGCTTCACGTGTTTCGTCCCATGGACCGCCGGTCCCGTGGCGTTCGGTCCGACCGTGGTCTCTGCCGACACCGCCACGAGGAGATCGAAAAGGCCTTGAAGGGCGGTGACACTCCGTCGATGCCCATCGAAGACCCCGTGGAGACGGGCAAGCTGCTGGAGCGGGGGGGGGTTGGTCGAACGGGAAGAGGATCGGAGTGGGAAGGACTCCAGCTTGCTGGGGGTGCTAGTTTTGCTGTTGATGTGTTGTTGCCGTGTGGTTGTGGCTGACTGTGGCTGTTGTTGCTGTTGTTGCATGCTGCTGTTTTTTGGGGGGGGTCAGGTTTAAGACGATTTTTTGCACATCAAGACGAAACTTCCATATGGTGCCGGCTTGTGCCGCTTCCGGACGCGGGCGGTCGCTTCCCGGTCGCTTCCACCGAAGACCGGTCCGACCGGTCCTTAGCGGGTCGCGACCGCGCAGCGTCCGGTCGGTCGCGAACACGCGGACCTACCGGGACTCTATCCAATGGGCTCCCAACATGGGCCGTGGTTCAGAAGATGGACCACAGATTCAGGGGGTTCATATTTCATTTATAAATAGATATATAATTATATATATATATATACATACACACATAATTAGCGACTTTGAGCTCATTGTTGACTTGTATGAAGCACGCCAGATCTGTGTTTGTCATAGATTTTCTAACGTCGTGACAGGAACTTCTGCAGGACAAAGCTTATTTGGCAGGTACAGCTTGGTAAGATCAACTTTTGCTAGCAGATTTGCTCGAAAAACACCTCTTCTCACATTCACATACTTCCTGACCCCTTCAAAAAGTATGTCAAATACGTACGTTCTTCCAATCGGATGTGTCTTCATCGTCCTGACAACGAAAAAAAAGCGTTCTCCCCAGAAGCGGCTGACGGTGGCGAACGCCTTGGCTGCTTTGCTTTGGACTTTGAGCACGAAGCTTGGCGTGCACCGTGTTTGGCCTAGCTGCGACCTTTGGGGCAGCAATGCGTGGATCAAGGTCCACACCTGGACCTTCCAAGGGGCATCCAATGGCGATCCAGCTATCTACTGTAATCTAATCTAATCTATTCTAGTCACGAAAGCTAGCGAAGCTAGCTGGAGTTACTCTTGCGATAGCAAGGTTTCTTTCGACCGGGTGCAAGTCCTAACCCCTGATTTTTCAGGTCGAAGACCCCCCCCCTCCCCACCCCACCTCCCCTCTCCTCCTCCTTGTCTTCCTCCCACTTCCTCCCACCTTCCCTCCCTCCCTCCCTCCCTCCTCCCTCTTCGTAAGTTCGACTCCGTCCTGTCGTCGCTCTTTGGCATGCGGTTAGCGTTGCGTATCTTGCGGCCGCACTCGCTCACTCTCACTCTCACTGTCTCACTGTCTCACTGTCTCACTGTCTCACTGTCTCACTGTCTCTCTCTCTCTCTCATCTCTCTCATCTCTCTCATCTCTCTCATCTCTCTCCTCTCTCATCTCTCTCATCTCTTTCTCATCTCTCTCATCTCTCTCTCCTCTCTCTCTCTCTCCTCTCTGTCTCTCGTCTTTCCGTCTCTCTTCTCTCTCTTCTCTCGCAGGAGGATCCGGGCAAAGAGCCACATATATATTAAAGGACTCTTCACCCCTGCCTCCAAAAAGAGCGCCGTGTTTTTTCCTACCTCGCTGCCCTCCACTTTCCCATTCTGGAGCGCTAGCTTTCGCCCCCCCCCCTTGGCCTCAAGTCTTATTTTATCTTATTTTAATCTAAATCTAGTCTAATCTAAATCAAATCTAATCTAATCTAATCTAATCTATCTATCTATCTATCTTTCAGCACGTGGTGGCAGTGCAGCCCTCCAGCTGCTGATTTCAGGGCTTCCAGCAGGTTGGTGCTAGGCCATTGCCCAGCTCCATCGGGCTGAATTTTTGGGCGGTAAGTTTTTTTCTCACCGTTCACCCACCAGACCAATGGCCAAGCAGCTCAGGAATTTGGAGGCCAGTGCCGATACTCAAGCTCTTTTGCAGGGCATCGCCAATATTTGTGATGAAGCTGGGCCTGCTAAGTCTGGTTTCTGGGGTGAGTGGGACGGTGAGAGGCTTCCCATGTCCAATCAATCTACGGTGAGCCCACACGGTGGTCGGACAAGATGCGGATTTCAGGCAGTCGGGGTGTGTCTTCACCGGGTTGCAGCTAGCTGGATGCTTTGTCTTCAATCTCAAAAAAGGAGCAGTCAAGGGATTGCTGAACTTATATTTGTGACCGTAGTGACCCCAAAGGAGCCAGACACAGTGACCAGTGTTGCCTGCCAGGGAGAAAGAGAGAGAGAGAGAGAGAGACAAAAAACAACCTTGGAAAGGTATCATTTTCCATCATCAATGGGCAAGAAACCTCAGATAAGATGGCTTCAGGCTTCCGGAGTCCGAACATGCATCATATTTATGTCTCTCGCTTTTCCCCTGGCGCACACCATAAAACACCAGCGACACCAAGCTCTTGGCCAGCACCAGCTGGCCGCTGACAGCACCGCCACGGCAGCAGCAGCACCACTACGGCAACAGCAACAACAAAAACGAAAAATAGGTACAAGGAAAAACCTGGAGCCCTGTCAGGAGACGTATTTCTTGTCCCTGCAGCAAAGATTTACCATGGGATTGCCGATTGCCCCAACAAGGGCACTTGTGAGCACTAATTACCGCCAGCAGTAGTGGGCAACAGCCTAAGAGCAGTAGTCGCAGTAGCAGCAGGTCAGTAGTGGACCAATGCTCCCTACACACCTTTTTCGGCCAATGGTTGCACAGCAGGAAAAACGATGAACAGCGACGCAGCCATACGCAGACCCTTTTCAGCGAGCTTGTCCCAGGATCCCATGGTCTATGGATACTTCACGAAGTTGAACGAGGAGCGATCCTTCCCACGGATGCAGCATGGGCAAGCTCACTTCAAAGCCGGCAGGCCAGGGTTGGGGTTTGGGTGCCCCGGTCCGACATGCTTAGTATAAAAGCACCAACAGAAGAGCCATCCCTTTCACTGGGTGTGTCCCAGCAAGCTATGTTTTCAGAAAGGTCTTTTATTCCAGGAGTCACATGTCGGGGTGGTGTTTAGTCCCATCCAGTGAGTGGAGCATAGACCCCCCGACTACCCCCGTATTGTGACTGCTGGTTAACCATCATCATCATCGTTAACGAGGTATGCCCAAATCCCTGATGTCTTTGCTGTTCAGATGTGGCTTTTCCTGTGCGCCCGGCCAGGGATTTCCTGGATGTCACCACTTCAGCCAATGACTGTGGACAGTTTACACAGCATGCGGATGAAGATCGCAGCAACATGCGCTTCATGTTGTTGAGCCTCCGGAAGAACTACCGCTTGGAGGCACCCAATTGGATCGGGCAGAGCTTGTAGAGCTTGTAGAGCTTCACAAACATGGTGCAAAGGGGATGTTTAGGAAAGTAGGAGCTCAGGAACTGCAGGTGTGGAAGCTGAGATGAGGAGGGAAGGGCTCTAGGTCTTCGGACCCAATATGGGCCATCTGTATGTTGCAGTTGCACCCTTTCAGTGATTGTGACCCGTCAACCCATATACAAAACAGCCCTTCCAGCATGGTCACTCCATGTTCCTCTAAGCATCCGCACGCCAAAAAAACAGGTGCCTTTTTGGGTTCTTTCCTCGCTGTCAGGAGAACTGGTGGGACTATCCTCGCACGCAGTTCGACGTGCTTTCCAACGGCAAGCCGCCCTATGGCCTGTCCGGCCCCTTTACCACGGCGGGCAGCCTGGCATGGAGTGAGGGTCAAGTTGCAGTGGTGGAGGATGGTGGAGGTTCTATGGGACAGGAGGGTGCAATTTTTGTTTGTTTAATTCTTGGTTCATCCCTTTATTGCTTTGGAAGACTGCTCTGCCGAATCAAAGAATGAACCAGGTGGAAAAAAGGGCGTCCTTCCTGCAGAGCTTCCTTCTTAGCAAGTAGCAGTGGAGGACAACCAGGCACCCCATTGGCCCACATGCTAGATTGATGTGCTTAATTGCTCTTTGATGCATGTGGAGCACCTCCACCAAGCACTCATTTGGGAAGGCGCCAGGTGATCTGAGAAGAAGCTGATCCATCTCAGCAGTCTTCGCATCGACCCACCGGTGGGTCTGCTGAGGTCTGCTGGCGTGCCAGACCGATTTTGATACCTTCCCCTTCTACCGTTGGTTAGCCGGCGCATGGACTCCGGGCACACTGCTTCGAGATGCCTTTTGGCCGGGGCAAGACGGAGCAAACAAAACATGTCGACGTTGACGTGTCTTTTGGTCATTTTTGGTCCCCAACACGCCTTTCGGACATGTTGCTGCAACAGACTGACCAAATTTGATGTCAGGTGCTGTCAGGTGCATGCCTTTTTGTTTTCTTTGGTGGTTAGGTGACCCAGTAGATGAGCTTATACTCACCTTCGACTGCCTGATTGATTGCTGTGCAGGAGGCTGGCTTGTGGGGAGTACACCAGCCGAATGCTTCAACAGAAACTACAAATATCCGCGGATGTTCCCTGTGATGTGATCCACTTTCTGTGATCCACTCAGGTGGTGAACTCGGGCTTTCCCTTCATCGACCTCTTCAACAGCTCATGCCCTGAGGATGAGGATTGCAGTGGTCGACAGAACGGCGGCTACACGAACCAGGACGTGAAGTCTCACTGATTTGGCTCACAATGGCTGACAAAAAACACTATAAACACCACTGAAGCGATCTGAAGCAGTCTCTCTTTGGCCCGCTGTTCAAGAACCTGCCAAGAATTGGCTTGGCGTGATTACCACGGGAACCATGAACAGTCCGAGTTTTGTCTTCGCTTTGATGAAGGTCGAGGATGGAGGTGCAAACCTCAAGAAGGGACTGAGCACACCTCAAGGGACTGGGCAAACCTCAAGGGACTGGGCAAACCTCAAGG